GCATGGGTGCAGGCACTGAGCAGGCTGGGTGCTTCTGAGCAGTGCTTGGAGCTGAGCTGCAGGTTGCTTAGGGGCTGGTGCACCTCGTCCTGAGCTGCTGTTGTTTCAGGGCATAAAAGTTGGGGTGTTTCTATGGAGTTGTGGAGGTGTGAGTGGAGCTTCTGGGCCGCTGCTGTGTTTTGGGGCACGGCTGGAGCGGATTTTGGGGATCTGCTGGAGCCAAATCTTTGCAGAGCAGCTGCTCTTTCTCCGGATTCCCCCTGGACTCTCTGAGCACCTCCAGCTTTTAGCAGCAACGGAGAAACCAAATTAAGTGACCATAAAAGATCAAACATGAGGTACTTCTGGAGGGCCTTCAGCCCCTGCCTTTTATCTCTTCTGCTTGAAAGAGGTCCGGAGACTTTGTAGCGTGTGGAGGTGCTGAGCATCCTGCGGGTTCCTCTGGGTGAAGGCTGTGTGTTCCCACTGCTCAGCTGTGCTCAAACCTCTGCAGTTTGTTTTCCTGGCACTTTGCAGAGGGAGATGACCCTGCTGTAGGCTTGGGGTGCTCTGGGTGCTCAGTGCCATTCCCGTAGGGTGGCTGAGCGCCCCAAATCCAACCCTGGGACACCGAACGTCTCTGCAGTGCTCCATCCTCACCTCTCCATGCAGCACAGCTTCAGCTGTGTGCTCTGCTCCTGGAGCCAGCAGTGGGCTCAGGGCAAGGTGGGGCTAAGGGCAAAGAGGGGCTCAGGGCAAAGAGGGGCTCAGGGTAAAGTGGGGCTCAGGTAAAATGGGGCTCAGGGCAAAGAGGGGCTCAGGGTAAAGAGGGGCTCAGGGCAAAGAGGGGCTCAGGGCAAAGAGGGGCTCAGGGTAAAGAGGGGCTCAGGGTAAAATGGGGCTCAGGGCAAAGAGGGGCTCACGGTAAAGTGGGGCTCAGGTAAAATGGGGCTCAGGTAAAATGGGGCTCAGGGTAAAGAGGGGCTCAGGGTAAAGTGGGGCTGCTCTGTGTCCCCGCCGCGATGCCCTTGGTCTCTCTCCAAACCCATATTTCACTTATTCCTATAGAACCTTTCACCCCTGGGGTTGGTGAGCATGCACCTGGCTGCCCAGGCCTGTAAAGCCTGCAAAAGGACCAGAATCAGCTCCCTGAGGGCCAGAAGTGCCACTCTCTGGTTACCATCCCTCTGCCCACCCTTGGGCACACGTGTAGCCGACTGCATAACCTTTCTGTGGGAGCATTCCTCTCCTTTTGGAGAGGCTCCCTGCAGCTGTAAGGCACTGACATGGATCCAGGAGCATCCCCTGGGCTGGGGATGTGGCTGTCAGCATCCTGCTGCCCCGTGGTGTGCAGGGAAGGGTTAACACAGCAGCGGTGCGTTGCCGTTTTTGTGCCTGTTGCCTTTGAATAGAAGAGATTTTCTTTTTTTTCTTTTTCTTCTCTTTTTTTTTTTTTAATCTGGGGCTAATGTGCAATTCAAATGGTGCTCAGGCATCGCCCGATTGCTCCTTTTTAATAACAGCTGGACTGTTTGGGGGGGGGGTTGAAACCTGGACGGTGCCAGGCGATGTCAGCGCTGCCTCTGCTCCCACTGTCAGCCCCAGTGTCAAAGCCTTCCTGCCCCAAGCAAGCCAGCTTCGTAACGGGAGAGCATCTGCAAGCAGCTGGAGATGCCATGGAGTGAGAGCCAAGAGATGGAGCAGCGCTCCCAGGGCCTTCTGCCTCCTGCTGCACCTGAGCCGCATTCCTGCCACGTCAGCCCCACCTCTGACGTCCAAAGAATGCTTTTCAACTCAACTGCAGGTGCTCTCTTAGCACTTGCCTGCGACTTTTCAGCCCTCCTCCCCCGCTGCTCCTGTTTGGGGCTGAGCATAAAGCTGTGGCTGTGAGACCGCGGCGTTCTGACGTGGGAGAATCTCTGTTCTGCCCTCCCCACCCGTGCTGGGGTCACAGCACGGCGCTGCGGTTGCATCTTTCCCTGTGTGAAGCTGGAAGAGACGAAGGCGCTGAGCGTCGGTCCATCAGAACAGCAGGCGTTGATCCGTGCCGCTCTCGTTCATTGATACATTGTGTGCCTCTCTGGTGGGGAACCGCTTTGGGCACAACGTCTGCAACAGCTGAAGCTCTTTAATTCTTCCACCTCCTATTAACAGAGCTCTTTCAGCCCTAAATCTGTCCCGGGAAGCTCCAGAAAGCTGTTTGCAGGTGGAGTGAGGGCGGCAGGCAAAGCTTTCCCTCCACTTCAAGTGCCTGTGTGGATCAGTTCCTTCCAGGGAAGGCAGCGGAGGGCGTGCAGAGCAGCCCTGTGATCGGCCAGGTGTGGCTGTGGGATGCATGGAGGTGAGGTGTAGAGGGGGGGACGCTTTGGAGCCGTGCTGGATCTGCTTTCCGTGGGGCAAAGCTGTGTTTAACGCTGCTGATGTGCACTGAGGTGCTTCAGTCCGTGTCATTGGAGTGGCTGTGTCCGAGCTGTGCTTTTTAGGAGCCATCCCTGTGTACCAGTGACATCAGGGCTCCTCTTGTTGGGGTGTAAGGACATCGATAAGGGCTTTTGCTGTGTGTTCCTGATCCAAGTGGACTCTTTGGAGAGGGGAAGGCTCTGCCCAGCCAACTGAGCTGCACCGTGTGGAGCTGGAGGTGGATTCTGCACTGAGCCCGGATGGTGCTTAGGACCCCGGGTTGTCCTGTGGGCTGCAGTGGGGGTCCCACACCTTCCTGCCCCACGTGGCTCCTGCAGGATGGAGCCTGCGCAGAGAAACAAGCAGGAGAAATGCATACATAGAAACAAATCTCAAAAAGGTGCCGGGCGACAGCTGCACATCCCCGGGTTGGAGTGTTGCTGGGAATAAAACCATCGGTTGCTGTCATTCACCCTCTGGGTATGAAATTGGAAGCCCAGTTACCCTTGAGTGTTTCATAACCTTTACCTTTTGGAGGTCAAGGCCGTGTCATCATTAATCTACCGTCGCCTGAATGCCCCGGGGCTCTGCTTTTCATCCCCCCCATCCGTCATGCTGCTGTGGGATGCAGGAGGGTGAGCAGAAGGGCCCGCGCTGTCCTCATGGAGCCTCGCGGCTCCCCTTCCCCATTTATGGTGAGGATTCTCTGGGCTTCACCTGAAGGTTCAGAACCGTTTCCTCCCCGGGATGCTTTTAATCTGTTGAGGAAGAGGCGCTGTGGCCTCGAGGAGAGGAAGTTGGACACGTGGAGCACCTCCTGCGTGTTGTCCCCAGAGCCAGGCTTCGTTGCTCCTCACCCGCAATGAGCTTCATCTCAAAGCACACACGTGGAGCTGCTGCTGCTCATCCACGTGCCTGCAGCCTGGGTGCTGAGCTGTGGCCGTGGGCAGCGGGGACCCTGGGAGGGTTTCCCCTCTGCTGAGATTCGGGTGTTGGAGAAGATTGGAGCTGAGCATCCCCACGAATCCCACTGCACCTCTGCTGGGCCGCTGCTGGCAGCTCCAGCTCCCATTGCAGGTATCCAGCTGTGCTCCCTGCCCGGCGATCTGCTCCATCCACAGGGCAGCAGCGAGTGCCAGAGCTGCTCCCTGTGCCATGGTAACCATTAATTAATGCCTTTTGGCTTTAAGTCTTCCAGCAGCAGGGGCTGTGATTCTCCCAGGAGAGAAGCGAGCCCGTTTTCAAGCATTTCCTTCCAGCTTTTTGGGAACAAGGAGTGTAACGACGAGCACCGAGCCTGGGCTTAGCAGTGCTAAGGTCCATCCTGGAGCTCTGCAGCCCCCATCTCTGTGCTCACCGCTTCCAGCCTGGGGGTCTGCAATGAGACCCAGGGCTCAGGATGGACACAGCACTGAGCACAGCGCAGATATTTGGGTTCTCCCTTCCTTCCTCTTCACCAGGGCTCAGCACAGCCGTTCGCTTTGTCCTTGGCTCAAGCTCTCCTCCTCTTCCTCCCCCCCCCCCACCTCTTATTGTAGACAAACTACAAAATAACTGAGTGCAGAGGGACGGAGGCGAGGAATAGAGAGGTTAGAAAATAAATCTGACACCCTGCCAGAAAGGTCAGCTTTCCCCACAGATGCTGGTGCACCCATTTGCACGCCGGAGCGCGGCCTGGGGGCACTGCCAGGGGTTGATAGATACGGAGATAGCAGCGTTTTGATAGAGGTAATTTTCCTCGGCTGGGTTTCAGCACCCCATGAATCAAAACCTGTCAGCGAGAAGCCAGAGATGGAGTGAAGTTTATTGTACGTGTGTTTGCATCTGACACTGTTGTGCTACGGGGTCAAGTGAGCCGGATCATTAGGGCCGTGTTGATTTAGGACGATGGTTGCACACTGCTTTCCCTGCGGGGCAGTGCTGGAAGCAGGGGGGGTTGTGGTGGGCTTCCCAAAAAAAGAAAGAAACCCCACGCAGTCCGGCAGCCCCGTTAAAGCTGCGGCCCTTGGCTCTGTGGTGGGAATGGCTTTGGGGAGCTGGTTTTGACCCTGTGGATGAGTGGGGGGGGGGAGCTGGGATTGGGAGCGGGCTCTTCTTTGTAAAGATGCTGTTTAGAAACGGTGCCCTTGTGGGTTTCGTTCTGCCACGGCGTCACCTGCAGCAGTGGGATGCAGCCGGGGGGGGCTGAGAGCTGCGAAGTGCCCTTAATGATAGGGGAAATTGTAGCAGCGCTGCAAAGCAATTAGGCAGCCTGGAGAAATGGGCTGAAAGAGGCACGAAAACAGCCGGAGCCAGGAATAAATCCACAGAAAATGGATGCTCTGAGGCTTTTACAGGCAATGATGGCTTTGGCTATTAGCTGTGATCAGGACATCAGCGTGGATGATGGCAGCAGAGGTAAAAAAGCCTCCGGTTTTTGCTGGAGAATGCTGAGAAACGGAGAGCTGAGGGCTCTGGGAAATGTCTGCAGGGGTTTGCTGGAAATTCAGCGTGTCGCAGGGGGTGGCCTCGCCTGCTGCAGCTCCTGGTGATGGGTGAGGGGAGGGGGGATGTGCTTTGCCACCAAACGAACCCCCAGGGCTTTGTCCCCGGGATTAAATCTGCTCCATTCTCTGTGCCAGAGCGAAGAAGACGAGAAACTGAAGAAGAGGAAGGAGCGGTTTGGCATCGTGACGAGTTCAGCCGGGGCTGGAGCCACAGAGGACACAGAGGTAAAGGCCCAAGAGGCCCAAGAGGCCAAGGCCCAATGGCAGCCGTGGGGACCCCTCTGCTGCCATTGGGCTCCCACTGAACCGCTGCCCTGTCAGCCCCACGGCCGTCAGCACTGCAGCCTCGTTCCGTGCCTGCATGGACCAGATCTGTGCTCTCCCCTTCCTCGTGCTCCGCAGTTCCTTGTCCTGGCTGCCCCTGAACCTTCTGCTTCCCTTTGGGCGCTGCGTTCCAGGCCTGCAGGAGCAAATCCCCGCAGACCCCGTAACGTAATGAAGGTTGCGGTGCTGACCCTGTTTCCAGCTTTCCTCCCTCTCCGCCCCTCGACGCTTCGGTCCTCTGTGTATCTGACCCATCTTTTAAATCCGTCACCTCCTCGGGGCACTCCTGTCCTTTTTCCTCTGTTTTTGTGCCCTGGATTCGTCCCACTCTTGGTGCACATTGTGCAGCTCCTGGCTCGATGTGGGGTCGGTGCAGCTGCGGGGCCCCAAACTGCATCCACGGCACCCACCTACGGACAAAGGGACCCTTTGGGCTGGGGAGAGCCGCTCGTTAACTAACGAGCAAAGCAACGCAGGGTGAGCTGCTGTAACCAGATGGGTCCCCACACAGGGACTGGAGCTGCCCAGAAGGGACTGCAGCGTTCAGGTGGAGCACGGGGGGGGGGGGGGGTTATTTGCAACCCCAAGCATGGGAGAGCGAGGCCCACGGCGAGGGCTGAGGGAGTCCCTGCTTTTCCGTTAGGTCACTCTGAGATTGTGCCTGGAACAAAAAGGGCTTTTGAGCCGTATTGTGTGCACTCAAATGCACCTTTCCCCTGGAGATTCTTGATTAGGGCTTCTGTTGCCCCGGGGCTATTTATCCTGCTAAAAATTAAGATTTATACGCCTCTCGTGGAGCAGCTTAAAGGCAGATCCGAGAGACGCAATAGTATATTTAATGCATTTTAGTGTGTCCCTCTCACCTTTTCCATGAATAGCAGAGTGTTAACCCTTTGCCCTTTTACATTTCCCACCTCCCCACTGCCTGGAAGGGTTTCGAGGCCTCTGAAGTACTCATTGTTCCCGGCTCAGCTCCTTTGTAGCGCCTTGCCAGCACAATGCGGTGACTCCAGCAGCACTGTATGTCAGGCACTGTATATTTCTGCTCCTGGATTTGGGGCTCTTTGTGCCGGGGGGGGGGCAGAAGAAAACCTTCAGAGCCTTTTCCTTCAGGCTGGCTCTGCGTCGCTGCGCTCTGGAAGGAGCTGGAGCCGCCGTGCTGGAGATGGGATGGCAAATCCTCAGCAAATTCTCCATCAGATTACGCGAGGTTTGCTCCTCTCGGCCCTGAATTCTCTCACGTCTGCTTCATTTCTTGCAGGCAAAGAAGAGGAAAAGAGCAGAGCGCTTCGGGATCGTCTGATGCCGGCCCCTTCCAGCTGCTCCCTTGGCAGCGTGCATCCGGAGTGCGTGAATCCTTCCCTCTTCCCCACTTCCTCTCACCTCTGTTCCTCGGGTTTTAGCGTTGCGTAGGTAGGGAACCCCCCCTAGTTGTACGATTGCGTTACTTAACTCTTTCGACTCGCTAAGTTTTAAGACAAAAAGAACAAGTAGGGCAAAAAGAAGGAGCTGTTGTCACTGCGTTTTGTCGGCCCGGAGCCCTGAGCTGGGAGCTGCTGCCCTTCCTGTGCGCTGCTGGGCTCACGGAGCCCTCGCTGGTTGCCCTTCTGGAGTGGAAGTTCACATTTGCTGCTCGGCAAGGAGCTGCTGTCCCACCCCTGGGTCCTCTCTCCTCCTTGGTTTTAAGGATGGGAGAATGCAGCAGGCAGAGCAGCTCTCGCTGCCTGCCTCAGCGGGGTGAAGCTAATGGGAACTGTCACAGCCAGAATTGCCAATTAACCTTAAATCAAGATCGGTGTCCTAAAACGAGGAGCAAAAAGTAGCCGTGCGTTCGCAAACGGAGCCCATTGCCGTGGCTCCTTTAGGTCCTGCACAGCCCTTCCTTCAGGTCGGCAGCGCGTTTCTCTCCTGAAACACAGCTGCTCCTCCCAGCCGTGGGCTCTGGGCTTCACGTTGCCCCCCCTGTGCTTCGGAACCGGCTGCTGCCCAGCTCGGCGCTGCAGAGGCGCCTCTGCTCCAAAGGGAGCCGGGCCAACCGTGAGCTCTGCCTGCCGCCCTGCTCCCCGCAGCAATCCGCTCCTGCTGCACTCAGCGCAGCTCCGTCCCATGCCTGAAGTCCTCGTGCTGCCTGGCGGCCCGCTGAAGGTGCGGGGTTTGTATTTCTTTCATCACAAAGCTGGTGACGCCACCCTCGCTCGGTTCCTTCGGGTCCCGCGGACGCGCACACGCGGAGCTTTCCAGAGGCCGCGCTCGGTGCTCAGTAAGCAATACGTGTCTACAGTTTCATACCAGACTCCTCAAACTGCTCCCATTCCACAGCGCCGTCCGCAGCTCTGAGCAACACCTGTGACGTCCATCCCCACCCCGCAGGGCGGCTGTGACCCACGGCTCCGGCCTCTGTGGGGTGAGCGATGTCCAAACGAACCGACGCTGCCCCACGCTTTCCTGGTTTCGTGTAATAACCGTACTCGGATTACTGTTATTAATGGTTGGTTTTTTTTGTATGTGGGATTTTGTAAGACGTATTTTCTATTCGCCTCGTGCTCCTTCTTGCCGGTTCTTCGCTTGGAACGTTTTGTAGTGCGCCAGGGCGAACGCTGCATTTCATTCTCGGTTTCATAATAAAAAGTGCTCCTCCAAGGCAAAAGCCCAGGCTCTGTCACTTTGATGTATGGAGCAGCTCAGGGCCAGGGCCGCAGCAGATGGAGCCCTGGCACGGCGCAGGGCTGACGGCCTCGGGGACAACTGCACGCCCTGCAGCTTTGGCCCCGCTGTCACCCGTCCCTCTGTGGCCCCACAGCTCCTGGGGTGGCTGGTGGCTCCCTCACGGTGCTGCCAGCGCTCCTTGTGGGCCCCAGGGGAGCCGATGGGGAAGGACGGATGCTTTCATTACCTGAAGCTTCGTGGCTGTTTTTGCTGCCTTTCAGCTGCTGCTGGGATGGGTTGAACGTCACAGCGCTGCTGCTGCTCCGGGAGCCGCGGGCTGGAGGTGGTCGGATCCTGAGCCCTCGGGATGGGGAGGAAGGTCGGGCTGCTCCGTGCCGCACATCTCCAGTGGCGCTCAGGAAAAGCTGAGCCTCAGCACCTGCGGTCTCATCTCCTGTCCCTTCTCCAGCTGAGGACCGAGCCCAGGGCTCCCGGTGCTTCCCCTTCCAGAGGCAGAGTGGGATGTGGGGCAACCCCCAGCCCTGCGCCCTGCTCCTTCCCTCACCCTGGGGCTGCGTCCCCCTCCTCCCATTGCCTCCTCCCTGTTGCCTTCTCCCCATCACCCCCTCCCCGTCACCCCCTCCCCTTCAGGGCTGTGCTCCCCTCGTGGCCCCAGCCCACGGACCCACCCGCAGAGCGGCTCCTCATCCTCCACCCTGCGGCCTTCCCCTCCTGGGCGCAGGGGAGAACCGTTCCGATGGCTCTGCGTTTCAAACACCACCTAATTTATTTTTCCTCTCCGAGCCGGGGGCTGCTCGTGACTAATTTGGGTTGAATAGGAGAAGAAAAAAAGCAGCGGGAGCACAATGAGCGGGGGAAAGTGTGGGAAAGAGAGCGAAAGAAAAGGAGGGCCGGGGAGTGCGGCGTGAGAGCTGCTAACGCTGCGCAGCGCCCAAATTCAGCATGAAGGCACCTTTCACAGCCAACGCTTGGGCTGCGAATGTGAGCAGGATGAGGTCAAGATGAGGGGGTGGGGAGGAGACGGGGGGTAGAGGGGGTGATGGGGGGCACAGCGGGTTTGGGGGGAGCTGTGCCGGCCCCCCACGGTTGCCCCTGGGTGGGATGGGAAGGACGTCGGTTTGAAGGGGGGGAAGGAGACAGGAGAGCAGAGCCTGGGTGTGCGTGAGGCCGAGCGCCGGGACCATCGCCACCCATGGGTGCTGTTGGATGTGGCACCGAGTGAAGGGAGATCCGGATCCCATCCCGTGCAAAGCCCTCTCCAAACTCACCGTGTCCAAGGAACCCCAGCGCTGCCCTTCCCTGAAGGTTCCTCCATCCTTTGGCCAGAGGTGGGCTGGCTGTTGCCCTCGAGGTCCTCCCTGCAGCCGAGCAGCTCCAGAGGTGCATCAGCTCCCTGCACACGGAGGTGCTGCAGTCCCATCCCCAAACACCATGGGGCCGACGATTCTGTGGCACCCAGGCAGCAACGGGACGTGGCGAGGCTGTGGGTCCCAGCCGAGCTCCCGTTGGTGCTTTAATTACCACTGGGGCACTCGTTAGGCAGCGGAGGGGAAGGACGGAGCCATATTATGTCATGGTGCGACCGTGGGTGGTCGATCCCTGTCCTAATTTGTCCCCCTCCCGCCCATCCTGCCCTGGGTTTCAGAATTAGGTCAATGGGGGACTGGGACGTCGTGGGGTGCAGCCGGGAGATGTGAGCAGGACAATGTCTGCTCTCATGGAACTGATATCAGCCCTGCAGTGAGGGGACGGAGCGTGCCGGGCCGTGCTGTGCCGCATCACACCGTGCTGTGCTACACCATAGCATGTCCAGCAGTGCCGGGCTGTGCTGTGCTGTGCCACAAAACCTGTGCTGTGCCACCCAAATCTGTGCTGTGCCACCAAAACCTGTGCTGTGCCACCAGAATCTGTGCTGTGCCATGGGAATCTGTGCTGTGCCACCA